AATTTATTATTTATCAAAAAAAGAAATAAAGAAACTTTAAAGTATATAAATATGGACTGAGATTGATGTATCAAAAAATTTTTGCAACATTAAAAATAATTAAACTTTATACATTTAAGCAAATATTTTGAAAAAATTCTTTAAAAACAACGCTGTTAAAATTGACTACTGCTTGTGTGATCAATTCAATCATTAACACTAAAGGAACAAAATTAATTATTTTGTAATAAAAGCTATTTGTTTGTTTTTTTTTGATTTTAGTATTAATGCACAGTTTCTATTCATAATACAAGTTTCGTTTTATTTGCTTTTATTTTGTTTTATTTTGTTTTATTTTGTTTTATTCGTTTTATTCGTTTTATTCGTTTTATTTCATTTTATTTCATTTTATTTGTTTTATTTGTTTTATTTTGTTTTATTTGTTTTATTCGTTTTGTTCATTTTGTTCGTTTTGTTCGTTTTGTTCGTTTTGTTCGTTTTGTTCGTTTTTATTCGTTTTATTTCATTTTTATTCGTTTTATTTCATTTTTATTCGTTTTATTTCGTTTTTATTCGTTTTATTCGTTTTATTTCGTTTTATTCGTTTTATTTCGTTTTATTTGTTTTATTATTACTCGAATTATTTGTTTATTCAAGTAAACCTTATTTGAATAGAAACCCTGACTGCTACTCAAGATATGATATTATTTTAGCACAAAGAGCTTTAGAAATATTTAACCAATAACTTAATTACAATATAAAGAGCTATTGGTTTATTAAACTAAGCCAATAATTAAAAAAAAGGATTAATTTTAAAAAAATATCTGATAAATATTGGCATTTTTAATATTTACTAATAGGCTTTTAGACTATATGATAAAAATATTATTAACTTATCAGTATGCTAATACCTTAATTATTTTTTTAAAGAATAATCAGATTCTGATATTTGCTGATACCCCATTACCCCATTACCCAATTTGACCAGTAAAAAGAGAACCAATAGATTATATATGAGCAAAGAAAGATGGGACCACAAAAGAATTTTAAATCATGCACAAACATAACAGCTTGATAGCTTAATTGACATAGTGATGCAGTGCAGTCTTGCAATTTTTTTTATTGTATATTTTAAATATAATTAATCATATGTCTTTAATAAAACAAACATGACTTAGCTATTTAATCATTTCC